TCTTAATCGCTTTTCCGTATCGAGAAATGTCTCGAGGTTGGAAAATCTAAACACCGGCGAGGCGACCAGTTTCGTGTCAGCTTCGATGCGAGAAGAGGCCCAAGAGCCCCTCCGATACCTTCCACTTTCCCCTTTTCCAGAGGGGTGGAGGGGGGGAGGGGGGTACCTGACACATGTCTAGGGATCCGCGGGCCCCGAAAATGGGTCTACGTAGCTAGTCTCGGTGGGGCCGGTCGCATATGGTGGCGCGGACACGTATAAAGCGCTCCAGCGGTAATAGCCAGGTGTTTCAAAGGTGAGGCGATGGGGCGCCCCTCGAGGCGGCACAACAAAAAAATAAACCAGCTTCCTTCCGATGGGGCTACCTTCCAACAGGGCGGCCGCCACCCGGTACACACGCACAGGCCCTCTGTGCGCGTCGTAATAATTATACAGATTTATTCGAACGGGCTCGGATCGCAACGGGTTAACTGCGGGCGCGCGCGTGAACTGGTCGACAGTTCCGGGGAATCGTAACGTCGCCCATCGGATATCTCGCCAAGGGTCGAAGAGTCACACCTTTCATTTCCTCAGCTGTAACGTGTAATTTACCACTTTGAGCGGGAAAACAAGAATCGTACGAGAAACCGGCCGTAAACGGCTGTCTATAAGTATACACCCGGGGGAACGTATCTATCTTCGGAGTCGCCGATAATCCCCTCCCCCCCCCACTCCCCTTCGAATTGCTCACGACCCGTCCTCGTCGATTTTACATTACGAACGGGAGGAACGAGCAGAGGAAGAGCGGGCTCGATCGACGTTATATTCCTCAACCCCCTGGAGACAACTACGTAAACTAACTACGGAATCATCTCACACACACCGAACCCCGTGTAATTCGCGGGTTCATTGAAAACGAAACGTTACGTCACCACCACCACCGATCCCAACCTGTCCCCCGCGCGATATTTGTCTTTCTTTTCGCGACAGGGCGGAAATGGCGGCTCGCCATTGCGGCGCAACAGCATAACCGACGGATGCCCCGTGCTCCCAGTGGGACCTGCTTCCATTTACGCGAGCGCACAAAGAATCTTCGCAGCAACCTGCGCGAACGCGCGATTACCCGTAGTATCGGCGTGAAGGGCGCTGAATTGTATTCCCTCGCCGGGATTCACACGCACGGTACATACTACGTCGGCAAACAAAGCTACCGGGATAACTTAGCGCGCCCAGTATTCCGTATAATTTATCCTCCGCATAACGAAGGAAGGAAAGAAGAAAGAAGCGGAATTCTTTGCCGGAACCGCCACTGGCTACCGGAATAACCGGATGACATGCAGGTCCTCGTTCCTATCCTCCCCTGTGCTCTCTCTCTCTCCCCCCCTCTCTCTCTCCCTCTCCCCGCCTGTCGTCTCCGTCTATTACGGCGATCTACGACGGGCAAGGGTTCTCTGCAGAGACAGATAATCGCGTGGAAGAGCGCGTCTTTGTGCACAGGTAGATGATTCGTCGGCGACCGGTGCACGATTCATCCCCGGCGTCTCTCAATGCACGTTGCGTCGAAACGAAGGCGACAATCGTCGGGTGTGTATTCCTCTCTCCGTAAACCGTCACGCTAAGAAAACGCCCATCGACCCTTTCCTTCCACGCGAGTGCGCGCGCGAGAGAGAGAGAGAGAGACAGGAGAGAGGATTGCGGTTTTTAATTTAACACAGACGCGGCAGGTAGAAGAGAGAGAGAGAGAGAGAGACCTACGCGCGATCGTTGGAAAGGTGCCGAACGTTACAATGTAGTTCTCGCATTAACGGGCACCGCGCGGTCTGCCCGGATTCGAAACAGAGTCGACGTAGCGCGTGCTCAGCGCGCGTTCCCTTTGATCGGCCGCGGAGTCGGCGTGCGTACCGCATCGGCACGCAGTCGATGTACACGTTGCTGGCGGGGAGGAACGGGGGAATGGAGAGCAGCAGCAGAGTGATTCGCGCCGGTCGGCCCGTTCCGCTGCCAGGCCGATAAGTTCCTCGGGATTGTGCCGGGGCTTATCGGCCGGCGAATCGAGCCCTGTCGCTGCTAACGATCGTATAAATTCGCGGTGCGTACAGCCGCCTACTAGGTCGTTGTTTCAGCCGATACATCGGCAGCGCGCGCGTGACGATAATGATCGGGCCTTTGACGCCGAGTAATCGATATTCAATTATCGCCGGGCGGAATTCCCGGAGGAGTATTCACGCCTCCGAAGGAAAATTCCTCTCTTTCTTCCTTCACATTGAGCGATGCATCTCACGGATTACGTATATACTGATTACATAACGCATGTGTGATGTTAAACTGTCACTGAAATGTTCCACGATGATGCTGAGAGGGAAACGTTCTTCCATTTCGACAGGATGTCTCAGGTGTGTTCTCTAGGAAACATTCGAGTGTACTCGTTTCCGTTGATCTCGTCGAGCCGAGTGAAACGCATCGGACCCGTGCAATATTGATATCGCGACGCAACGCGCGCACGCGAATATACGTCGGCGGTAGCGAGGACCGTCGCCGTTGCGCCGAGACAAACGGTTAATAACACGCGCCCCCGAGGAGTATCGGGTTACAACCGAGATTTTATCACGAAATTCTGCCGGCACGCTCGCTCCAGACGCTGTCTTCGTCTCTTTCGCCCGCCCGCTCTCTCCACGTCTCTCGCTTGCGTGCGTTTCTGTGTTTCTCCTTTATTACGAAATAATACAACGAAATGATCGCGGCCGAGGCTCGCGCAACAAACTAGTCCGAAGAATAAAGTGTTGTATGCGAACGAGCTGTTTACGGCGACGCGAGTACGAGGGTCCTTGGGTCAAAAATCGCTCTCGATTTCTTGCGGCGGCCGTACCGGTCTCGAAGCCGCGTCTGTGTGTTCCACGATCACTCGATCCGAATAATCGTCGGTAATAACGACGTCTAATGCTTGTTCCTGACATCATAGTTTAACCTTCTTGTTAATCGCAATATTTTTCACCCGTGAATAGTCGTAATGTATCTCACATATACGTCAATTTTCTCATTATCCTCCTCTGCCTCTTGAAACAATTTTTCCTTCATTAGCACTTCGCTAATAAATTAAATATTAAGATACATGAGAAAAAAAAACAGAGAAGAACAAAGTGAAGAAAGAAAAAGACATTGACAATGACGAGTTCGACCTTGAGACCGTGTAGCAACGACGATTGTAGCCTGATTTATTGGATACGCTTGCGACTTAAACGCAGGGTTAAATCTAATCGACGATTAACTCGACGGAATCGACCGATCGCATTAGCCAATTAGCTGAACCGATCAATGCGATTGGTCAATTTCGTCGAGTTAATCGTCGATTAGATTTGAGCTATGACAGCAACGGGCATAAATGCGTGTGTAACAATTGCGGAAGATCGCCTTGGATCTTCACTCCGTTTCCAAACTCGCCTGACGGTTGATGAACCTTCATCGTCTATCTTTAGCGTACACTTAGTGCCAGCGCTTTGCTCTCGTAAGCGTTTTAATTCATACGGAATATACGTGACAAGTTCTCTCTGTTAAAACGATAAAATCGCCGCGTGTTTCATCGTGGCATCTATCTCGCAAAAATGGCGAGCGTTCGCGTGAATTCTCGCCGCCCGCTCGGCGGGTAGAGCGGAGCGCCTTCGCGAGCGAGCACGCATGAGCTTTCAAAGGCGCGAGCGCGCGCGCGCGTGTAGGTCTCAGCACGCGTGGGCGATGTTGTGGCACGCGACACGACCGTTACTGGCACCGGAACTGGCACCGTGGGCCGACGCGGAAGAGGGGTTAAATTCAGAAGGGGAACGAGAGAGAAAAAGAGGCAGATTGCCCTCTATGCGCTCATACACGTATATGCGCGCTTCTCTCTCTCTCTCTCTCTGGCTCGTCGCGCGGGAGCACACACGCGAAAATATAACTCCACACGCGCGCACGAGGTAGAACTACAAAACAAGCGACACGACGACTACTCTTGCACAAAGAGCGAGAGAAGGAACGGCGTTGAGTTCAGGTAGGCCGAATGGAAATTCGAATGAGTCGCCGCGCTCTCCTCGGCGGTGGGGGTCTAATGTACCCACACAGGCGCGTGTGACCGCGCGAGTTCCCGATTGCACGCGTGTGCACGTGTGCGTGTGGAAGGGGGTCCCCCAAGAGGGGCCACAGCATCTGCTCCGTACCGACACAACATATATAACATATATACATACAGTGCAATAGCGGAGCGCGCGCGCGGCGGAGGAAGAGGGAGCGAAAAAGAGACGGGTGGAGAGAAAGAGAGGACGAGTGGCGCGGAAGGGACGATAAAGAAGGAAGGAGAGCACGTGGAGCAGCACGGACGGTCGCGTTGCACTCACGGACATCCTGCGCGTCCTGTCGACTCCTGCCGCGGTGGGGACCGTGCTAACCGGGGGGACAGATGCCTGAGCGCCGATTGGACAGCGACCCGCGACCAAGCGCCCTACTACTGGCGCGCAGCGCGGGGCCCGTGGACCCGCATTGGTCCGGCAACACGTGCGGGCCACCTGCGTCTCGCCGGGGTAGGGGATATATTATAAAACGTTCTGGCGCACCTACCAGCCAGTCAGAGACTGGCTTATAGCCGAAGCGTTCGGAGGGAGATACCGTACGAGCCGTGTCCCTGCGTTTCGAGTCCTGAGTGGTAGACCCGCGTCACTCTCGACTAATCAGTTCAGTTCGAACGAGCGAGCAGCGAGGACCGCGGTGTTCCTTCGACATCGCCGAGCGATTAAAGTGCTGTTCCGACCGCGAACTGAAAGTGAAGACGCGTCTGGATTTGCGGACTCGTGTGAGATAACAGTGCAGTGACGTCGTCGCGCAGGAATTATCTCGCCAGAGAGAAAGAGAGAAAGGGAGACTCCAGTGAACAGGAGACGAGATCGTTTTCTCTCTCTCTCTCGACTCCTCGCGGCTATTGGATTAACACTGTAACAGAGTGCGTTTTTGCGGTACATCGTATCTGCGAGAAGCGGATATATCACAGACAGTTCAAGATGCTTCTCGAGCAGGTGCCGTGTAGCTTCGTGAAAGACAATAGTTACAGTCACTGCCCGCTCAAAAAGCGGCCGGTGCACTTTTTAGCGTCCAAGGAGGAGCCAGCAGCGATCGAAGGTACATATATCGGGAAGTTGTAATTTCCTCAACCGTGCGGAGAAAATGCGAAATCACCCGTAATCTCGTCGAATTCGACGAGCGTGATGTTTTATCTTGTTTTCGTATCGGCGGTAAATATTCCGCGATTCCACGAGTAAATATTGTTCCGGATAACTCTCGCACTTTCGGAGATCGGTAGTATACTAAAATGTTAAGATGAAATTATGTGAAAAGTCATGTAAAACGCGTCATTCATGTTTAGCACCGTAGATTCATCTCTTCGTGCGCAGAGTCGTAAAGAATCGTAGAGAATAGTTACAAAGTTTACAAATCACGAACAATGGAAGGCGCGTGTACACGCACGGATAAATTACTTTCGCGCGCATTGCATTTTCGCATATGTGCGGAGATGCACAAGTCCTCCTCACGCGTGTTATAGCGTTAGATAAGAATAAAGAAGCGTAGAAAATACGCGATTTTTCCGGGGAATAACGAAAGAAAATCTAGGAATATCAACAAGCCGTAAAAATACGTTGCAAGCGAACGCAAGAAAAAGAGACAGTCGTCAGCGAGCGTAGGATTATACTCGAATCAATCGTTACGCGTTGCCACCAATGTATCTCTTCGTTGTTGCAGAAGAGATGGTCGAAGTCGTGGACGACATCCCCGAGCCCGAGAACCTCAGCACCAAGCCCGAGGATCTCAGCAAAACGGCGGATCGTCACTACCAACACTATCACAAACCTCAACAGCAAGCGCAGCAACAGCAACAACATCCGCCAGCGACACCACCGCGGCAGGAAGCGGAACAACAACGCGCGACAAGAACACCATCACCGATCGTGAAAGAGTCGATGTCTCCGGCCGCGGTGGCACAGCCGTCCTCGCCGATCAACTCGATGTGCCACGTGCAGCACCCGCCGCACCATTATCACCAAGGTTATCATCACTCCTACCCGACGAAAAGCATGACCCCGCCGCCGGGGATCGCGCCGATCCACCCGAAGAAGGGACGCATCGAGGTGCTGCAACACAACTCGTCGACGACGCCGACGGCGGGCGTGACCGCGACATCGGCACCGCTGCACTTCATGGCGACCAAGGCACCGCTGGAGCCGCTGAACCTGAACACCCCGGTGGAGCCGTTGGCCCATTACCCAACGCCAGTTTGGGTCCGCGCGGCACCTCTCTACCACTCGCCGCATTACCTTTCGTACCCGCCACCCACCTACCGCTACCATCACCCCGGAACGGAATTGTACCCGTCGTACCCGGTGCCGGCGTACCCGCACTCTCCCCCGGAATCACACCCGTCGGTCTCGCCACCTCCTCACAGCGCGCTAACTTGCTCGACGATCCAACGGCCGATCGCCAGGAGCTACCCCCATTGGGCCAGCCCGGACCACTGCGGTCTGTCGCCCACGAGTTCCGTGGGCTCCGGATCTCTGCGGTCTCCTCCACCCGTCACACCGGAGGACCTCTCTTCGCCCGGCAGCGACAGCGGCAGGTCGTCCGCCGGCAGCACCACCGCCGGCTCCGCGATCGTCGACGCGAAGATCGAGAAGAGCGGCTCGAGCGGCGAGGCCGCGAACACGGCCTCGAGCGCGACGTCCTCGAGGTACCAGTGCCCGGACTGCGGCAAGTCCTACTCGACGTTCTCCGGCTTGACGAAACATCGGCAGTTCCACTGCGCGGCCGCCCAAGGCCAGGCGAAGAAGTCCTTCTCCTGCAAGAACTGCAACAAGGTATACGTGAGTCTGGGCGCGCTCAAGATGCACATCAGGACGCACACGTTGCCGTGCAAGTGCACGATGTGCGGCAAGGCCTTCTCCAGGCCGTGGCTGCTCCAGGGTCACATCCGCACGCACACCGGCGAGAAGCCGTTCAGCTGTCAGCATTGCAACCGCGCGTTTGCCGACAGGAGTAATCTCAGGGCCCATCTGCAGACTCACAGCGACGTCAAGAAGTACTCCTGCGACTCGTGCAGCAAGACCTTCAGCAGGATGTCGCTGCTGACGAAGCACCAGGAGGGCGGCTGCCCCGGCGCGCCGGTGCCGATCGGGTACGCTTGTTGAACTTTCGCGTTTGTGTGATCCACGGACGAACGTCCTACATTCGCTTCTTTCCATTCCGCGTTCTCAAAGTGCCTTAGAGTATGCAGTACAAATGACGACAGGCGGAGTGAAGTCCGATTTCTTGGATGAAGCGCGCGCGCGGCTTGTCGTCCGCGATATCGATCCTTTCGTCACTCTGAATTACGTTCTCTAGCGGAAGTGAGTTTCACACGGACGAGTAGAACTTTTTATTTATATTATTTTCTCCAATTTTTATCCCTTCGTATCCTTTTAGAAAATACTTTCCGCCTTTTCCATTGATTTTCGCATCGATCCTGAAATCGGACTGACAAATAGGTGACTCGAGTAATCCCCGATTTTATCTCGGTTCCGTTTGTTCATTTATCCATTCGCTGTAAATACCGACGTATGAGTGTGCGACGTATGAATGCGCTAACGTTAAATATATTTTATTTCCTTTTCTTCTGAGAGAAGAGAAAGAGAGAGAGAGAGAGATTGATTATCGACGTCGCGCTCAGAATACGCGGAGAATATCGGGAATAGAGTTACCGCTCGTGCAGCGGTCCCGTGAAACTGTTGTGCCATTAACTGTTTCCTTCTTTTTTTTTCCCCCCATTTGTTCCAATACACGCGAGCACATAATACGCGATCGAGAGACCCAGTGATAGAAGATCTGCACGTTTTTCGTTTTTCCTAGAATTTTTTTTTCCTTACATTTTTACGATCGCGATTAGCGTTTCCAGGCACTTTAAGAGTTAAATTAAGCAAATTATCTCGCGAGAGCGAGAAATGTACTTCGAATATAGTAGTTTTCGAATTTGAATTTTATTTGGATAGATCGCAAAGAAATGTTCACGTTACAAAAGATTCGAGCGCACATATACAGATAAACTCGGCACATCATATTCTTATATAATACAGCGTTAAGCGGTACGTCTTTCGGAAAAAATGGAAAGAGGAATAGGCCGAGCCATTTTTCTATCTTTCTACTCCGTACTTCGACGATGAAAGATTGCAGACTCGTAGATAAAGGGCGTAAATGATAAGCCATTTCCTTTCTTTCGGGACAGCTGTCACTCATTTCAATCTCTTTGGCTCCGACCGATCTGTTCAAAATATGTTTTGGATCGAGGTTGTTGTTTTACTTATGTAAAACGATGAAATGGTAATCATTTTATGTGAGAAAATGGGAGCACGGATCTCCACGGAGAAGAACGTAGATGACGACCTCCCGAAATCTTCGGAGCGGTTTCATGTAGGAAAAAGCTGCACTCGTCCATAAGATGTTCCCCTTGAAATGGTGCAACATGGTGTAATCAATGTCCCGGGTTTGTCTGTATGTGTTTATGGTCGAAATACGCTGTACCGAAGTGCCATTCACGAAGGCGCCACGTGCGCACCGCGCTGCGTGAAATTACGTGCACACGTTCGCACGCGTTAACACGCAAACTTATACATAGTGTATAACGCTTAGCGATTAGCAGATAAGTCACGCACAATACAAGTATTATAATTCGCCTCCGTCGAATGCAGAGTAGAACGGGTAGGACGGGGAGAATGAAAAAGCTTTTGAGGCGCGAATAGAAAGAGGAGATGTCGGCCTGTTTCGCGCGCGCCGCATTATCGTTCTCTCTACATTTTGCGTTTTGTATATTCAATTGTAAGTTACTCGAAAAAGCTAGTCATTGTATAATACGCGCGGTGGGACGGAAGACTCGCCATGATCACTACACTATGCGGTGCCACGCCGCTTCGAGAAAGATGTACAGATCTGCGAAGGGAAGGGGGGGGGGGGGGAATAATAAGTTTTATATACGCGAGCAGTCATTGCGAACTTTTTATGTTTTATATCGTGCGTGTAAGTAGCGACGCTCAAGCGAATACCATTATATCTAGTTTTGTAAAGAAAATATAAAAACTACTACGACACATAGAGATATCGCCTATATATAGAGATATTTTATACGAAATAAATTACATGGATTTTGAATTTTACACTGTTCTGTGAGTGTGTGCGTCATCTAACGTCAGTCACCTTTAACCTTTGCGTTTCCTATAGAAAAAAAGAACTACTCCATTAATCAGATCAGATGGGAACTCGGTTGCAGGAACGATAAAGATTCCCGCTTCTATTCGGTCAATTGCTCTCAGTTGTCTCAACCGAATTTCAATGCAGTCTCGTTCAATGAATGTTCACACGAATGTTCTCAGTCGCCGAGAATTGATATCCGAGTTTTCATCCGGTTTCTGTTCAGTTATAAGAACTGAGATTTCTTTCCCGCGCACGCATCCACTTCGCGTAACGCCATTCGCGCGGAATTATTTCGTTTAATAAACGACGATCTTCCAATTGATCATCGGGTACACCCGATATTTACATCCTCGTCGCCTCGGGCCTACTACGATCGAGGGTGGAACTCGTAATTACGTGACGATTGACGTTTCGGGGACTCGCGTAATCACGCGCTTTGTCTCTCGACGAATGTCGGGCCGCTCGATCTTTTCGGCAAACGATCGGAGCTCGATCAGCTCGCTCGCCTCGGGGGCTCTCTCGTCGATAAAAGTAATCGACGGTGCGGGCTCGTGCCCGGCACGAGACGAATCGATTGGATCCGACTCGAGATTCGACGTACGGAGTGTGTTTCCCCGTCGCACACGTGCGTATCGCGCGTAATCACGCTCGAATGTGGCAGAAATTACGAGGTCACCGCGGATAAATCTATCGGCTTCGACAAGGCGCGATATTTATATCGCATTCATTGACACGTTAAGCCAAGCAACCCGCTCATTGTCGCTCTCGCGCAATCTCGCCACCGTCGAGAGCAATGTTTACGGCTTCAAAGCGGATCCTTTCCGCGGTTCGCGCGCTCTATATCTTCCGAATGCCACACGCGCGTTCGTTGCCGCAACTCTATCTAGGTGGTCCGTGTATCGATCATGCGACGAGTAGAGAACGCCACGTCCTTTCATCGACTTAACGACGCGCGATCTATTAGTCTAGTGTAACGCGCAACGCGTTACGGATGAACGTTGCTTGCGAATAAAAAACGAGAGAGTAAAAGAATGCTTCTTCGTACAACTTCGAGGCTATGACGTCATACTTGAGCACAGAAAGAAAGAATGTTTAGCGGTTTTAACTATAATCGCATAAGTGAAAGAATTATAGTGAAGAGAACCATTCTGATGGTGTTATTATACGGAAAACATGTGTATCTATTCAAGATTCATATTATCATATATAAGCAAGAATATATACGAAGATAAACGTAAAAAAATGCTGTCGTCTTGCTTATGTAAAAAAAATTCCATACGATTCCACTAAAGATGTCATTATGGTACACGTATATATAAATTCTTGAATAACAAGAATATGATATTTTTAGTGGAATTATGTAGAATTTCTCCATTTAAGTCTTATCCTCATATAAGATTGTATCTTTTTATCTTTATATAAGATTATATATTTCTGCTTACTTATGAGTCTCGAACTGGCACCAATTTTCTTCGTCTATATGATATCAGTGATGATAATCTTATATGCATATTGCTACTACTACTTTATGAATCAAGACCAGAAGACGCAGTTGAAAGCGGAAATAACTATAATTTTCGTGGAATTTTTCTCAGTGCAAATATCGTTCCCAACACACCTTATCGCGCGAAAGGTTGATCGATATAAGCTGACTCGCGCCGCGGCGGCGCGAATGTTCGTGGATTATCCGGTAGGTTATCCAATTTCTTCGCACAATGAAGAATCGAGAGAGGAGATCGTTACATTCGCACGCGCGTGCGCGCGCGAGAGAGAGAGAGAATATCCCTTTCCGCGTCACACGCGTTCATTCATACGTTCACGGTGTGTAACGCGGTACAAAGCTCTTTTAGCGGAGCAAACAACATATGGCGAGCAAACGCACGCTGGCAACGCGTTCAATTGATTTCGCCCGGGCTAAACTGGCTACCTGCGCGCGCTATTAAATCCCACGCGCCTGTAGCGCACGCACCGCCGATTCAATCAGCCGTGGTGGCTTCAATCGCGCTTTTTGTCCAACCGACTCGCCCATATGGGTCGCCGCGCAGTCGTGCCACGCTCTCGCTCGCCCTTCTGACACTGTCGCGCATCGATAATATATGGGTCGACTTCAGCGAGCTGAGCGCGCGTTCGTTATTGTCTCGAGGTTCGGTCGGTGTCAGCACGGAGTCACGCAACAAGTTTATTTGCTTTCATACGGCCTGTTTGGATATTTAAGGCTTATCGTGCAGTTTCTTATCAAAGAGGACATTAGAGGCATTGTAGATTAGTAATGTCAATTTTTGATCTCTCGGGTATCTTGGGTGCTACCTGCATTCCTTGACGCATTGAATTATCCGAGATAGAAGGAAAATATGATATATATACATCTGACAAAGTATATTTCCTTTTTGTTGAGCTTATCACAATATTAGTATATATAGATTGACGAGGAGAATATATTTACGTAAGGAAGAATGTCATTCCTTTAAAAAATTCTTTTCGATCTCGCGTAGTACTCGTATGTTTCGGTATTCACGTTTGGAAATACCCCGGTTATATTTACATCGTATACACTAGAATTTACATTATTCCATCGCAACGATGGTAACAATTTAACCATAAGAGAGAGAAAGAGAGGGAGAGAGAGAGAGAGCGCGAGAGAGAGAGGGAATTATATTAACGACGAATTACAGCTACAATGGCGGTTAACCGCCGGTTACAATGAGACCGAAGTATACATTTTTGGATTTGAATAACCGCGTATTCCACTTACGATACAGGCTCGTTTAAATCACAAGTTGTCAAGGGACTGACGTATGACGGCCCATTGAACGGAGTCCTTTCGTCCGGCACGACAGGTGCACGCGCCATTTTCGAGTGTCGGCCCTCGCTGGCAGCGCGGTGTGTATACATTCGCACGGAAACACGCGCAAGCAAGAAAGTGTGGAAGCAAACGCTACCTTGGCCGCTGGGCTTTTATGGCGACCGG